TTTAGAAATTAGAGTATAATTTATATGATAGATCAAAAATAGATTAAATTCTGTAAAACTTGCGGCTTAAACCAAATTTTATAAGCAATAATGGCTTCTTTTGACTTTTAGGGACGCAGACCCAACCAAGGATGCTTGAAGAATGCAGACTTTATAATAATTTGCAGTCATGGTGTGTCAACTGCCACCATATCTGTAACTGATAAAAAGTGAATGCGTCTCAAAAGTTTCTAAACAATTTTGATTCTCAGTTATAACATGTTTTAACGGTATTAAAGTAAATGGATTGAGAAAAAGTCCATATGTAGCCTAATTAGTTTTCAATTTACCTTCTTAACAGTTTTTTTTAGTTATTTAGCTTCATTTTTATTGTTGCAGCTAGTTTTATATTAAAGACATGTCATTTATCTACCAACAGACCTGCTGATATAATGTTGCCAGCCTACAATGTCAGTCTCTGATCATTCATATAATATTACCAAAATGGTGAATAGCCAAGCCGATGAAATTATGTCATCTGTCTAGGTTTAAAACCGTTTCTTTAATTGGAGCTTTAGAAAACTTAGATGAGGCAGCAACAACAAATAATCAAGTTTATCTTGAACTACTAGAATATTAAGTCGGTTTTCAGATTGCCCCAGCTTAGAATTCCACATCAGAATAGAATAGAATAGAATTGAAAAATCCCTTAATTAATATACAGCTGTGGACATTTTTACAGTAATGCATATGTGAAAAATAGCAGCAACACCAGAGATGTGCAAACATGGCAGCAGGATGTTATTTAAATGACTAAGACAGAAACTGTGATAACACTCCCTGGTGCATTTAGGGTGCAGAGGTCTGTCACTGAAGGAGCTCTCCAGTTCAGCAGCAGCTTCATGCATGGGGTGGGAAACATTATCCAACAGAGATGTTATTTTACTTAGAGTCCTTTTGTTTCCCACCTCCTTTCCCTTGTTTCCAATACGTTGAATGTTTTTTTTTTTTTTTTTTTCTCATTTTAGGTATGGAGTAGCGTTTACATATTATGGGATAAGTCTAAACATTACAGGCTTTGGCCTAAATCCTTTCCTCACACAATTCATCTTTGCTTCAATCGAAGTGCCGATGAAGATAGGTGTCTATTTCTTCCTAGAGAAATTTGGTAGAAGGTACTGTGAGATGGGAGCTCTAGTGTCTACTGGTGTCTGTCTATTCATCAATATTTTTATTTCAACGGGTAAGAATTTCATGTCTTGTTTTAAATAATCCATGTATTTTTGTTTATATCTAATCAATGTGGACCCCCCCCCAACAGATAAATGGGTTGCTCGTACCATTGTGGGGGTCCTTGGAAAGTCTTTGTCAGAGGCGTCGTTCACAATAATATTCCTTTACACAACGGAACTCTATCCAACTGTAGTGCGGTCAGTCAGACATGTACATGTTTAATTTGGTTATTGCACAAGAGGAGGGGTAACAGTAACCTATTGGTCCTTTTCCAGGCAGAACGGTCTTGGCTTCACCTCATTTATGGCACGGCTCGGGGTCTCCATTTCCCCACTCATTATGCTGTTGGAAGACGTGTGGCAGATCCTCCCTGCTGCTACATACTGCGCTGTGGCGGTTGGCTGTGGTTTAGTCACTTTACTCCTGCCTGAAACATTAAACACCCAGCTGCCAGAGTTCATCGAAGACATTGAGAAACCCAGGTAAAATGGAAACATTTTCAGAGGAACATTATATGTAATCCAATATCAAATATCCAGTAAATGTTTACCAATTTACTGAGCCTCCCAGTGCAAAGGTACTTTTTTAGCACATTACATAAACTCTGCAATTTTCATAATATCCTTAGATATTTTTTTTACAGTTTTTCCCTTTTAAATCATCCATGAAATAACAGTTTGTTGTTTTTTTTTTCTATATCGCAGGAGCAAGTCAACAAAGAATATGGGAATTCAGTAAAAATGACCACTGACCAAAATATATTTTTCCAATAACATAAATGATTTAAAAAAAGGATATGAAAATAAAACTTTGCTCTCTTTCTTTGTACAAATTGTTGTAATATGAATCGTCCTCACTGATACATTTTGCTCTGTATCTGTAATATCATCATTTGAAGTATATTCAAAAAAACAGGGGACCTTGTTAAAACTTGCAACAAAAAGTAGCTTTACTGTGTTTCTCTGTACCAGCTCTGTAAAGTTTAATATGGTGTCTCAAAAAGAATTTGTTATTTTATTAATGGAAATAAATGATTTTAACCAAGATGTGTCACTTTATAAATAATACTGTAGTTTATGGGGATGAGGCAGCATCAGGCAATACGATTATTTTAAAAAGGGATGTAGAGGCCAGCACAGTTTATATAGAAAATATTTATTTCTGCATTGGGGCTGCTCAATGGAGTAGTGAGCACTGATGCCTTGCAGCAAGAAGGCCTGGGTAAAGAATAAAAATAAAGCTCCCTGAGAAGGCCTATGCCAGGGTGCTGGAAAGAAGAATCCGGCTGATGATCGAACCTCAGCTTCAGGAGGAGCATTTTTGTTTTGTTCCCAGCTGTGGAACACTAGATCAGCTTCAGACCCTCTGCAGGGAGCTGGAGGGGTCATGGGACGTTTCCCGGCTGGTCCACTTGTGTTTTGTGGATCTGGAGAAGGCATCTGACTGTGTACCCCATGGTGCCCTGTGGGGGGAATTAATCATGAAACTTGGATCATGGCAGATAAAACAAAATCCCAGATACTAGAGGCTGAAATTAGCTTTCTCTCCAGGGGGTGGCTGGGCACTCCCTTAGAGATAGGGTTAGGACCTTGACCATCAGGAATATCACACTGAGAGGAGTCTGCTGAAGTGGCTCAGACATCTTTTTCAGATTCCCCCCTGGACACCTCTCTCAGGAGGTGTTTCAGGCACATCCCACCAGGAGGAAGCCCAGGGGAAGACCCAGAACACTATGGAGGGACTATGTCTCTCGGTAGGCCTGGGCTTGAGCTTTATCCAGGGAGCTGGAGGAGGTAAATGGGGAGAGGGAAGTCTGGGAGTCCCTGGGACTGCCACAACTGTGATCCGGTCCTGGATGTCAGGTTGTGTGGAGATTTCTAGAGGACCCAAATGCAGAGACAGAAACTGAGGTGGTTTCTTGCAAATGTTATGCAGGATTTTTGGCAACAGAAGCAATGTCCAAACACAAAAAAAGAAAACCAAAAAACCAGGAGATGTCAGGTAAAAAACACATGAGCCTGGAAACAACAAGGAACCAACAAACAGTGACTAAACAGGAGATGTATAAAGGGGAGACTGAACAAAGGCTAGGATAATCAGCAGATTGGGAGCAGGTTTGGACAGAGAAAACTAGAGGGGAGCTAGGGGAAAGGACACTGACACAAGAGGACAACAGAGGGTAAACAATACATAAGAACTAAAAAAAAATAAAAACTCAAAACGAAAACTTTAACAGAACCACTACCCTGACATTGGTGTAGTGGGGAAAAAGTATTCAACTATTCACCCTAATTAAATGATGAGATCGATGGATTTCACTCAGCCGGCAATTTTTTTTTATATTTTTGCAAAGAGAGAACAGTCATCGTGCAGGCCTAACTGGTCTGTATTCAGGCCTGTTTTGCCTGGGCAGCATGTGTTCCCACTTACTTATAACAATGCAAAGCAGTCAGAGTCAAAACAAATTACAAACACTTTGGTTTAAGCAGTTACATGTTGTTAATAAACCTTGAGAAATAATCTGGCTTGTATTGGGAAGAAGCTATGTCTGGTCTACAAACTGTCATGTTTGCTTTAAGGTTTCTAACCCACATGCAGAACACACGGATTCAAGGGAAAAAGTTCAAAGGTTTATTGAAACAACACAGAGAATAAAGAACTGATCCAAGGGGTTATTAGATCCAGGACTGGTCACGACTGGGTTCACTGCAGAGGGGGACAGAGTGGTTAGCTGAAGTCCAGGTAATTTGCAGAGTTTGAGAGTGCAGGTCTGTACCTGATCTGGAGTTGAGCAGAGCGGCAGAGAGGGGGAACCAGGAGGGTCCAGAGGCTGTCGGCAGGCTGAGGGCTTGGCGGAGGCAGAGCTTGGTTTGAGAGTTTGCAGGAACAGGTTTGAGTTTCCCTTTCAGATTCTTCTGAGAGCGGGCAGGCAGGTCTTTGACAGGTTTGATTCTCCAGGGTTCTTCAGAGATCAGGCTGACAGATTACAAAAACAGATTAGGTTCAGGCTTTCTGGGAGTCAGAGATTCAGACAGGCAGGTTGGCTCAGGCTTGCTAACCATAACTGGCAAAACACTCTGGCGTCGGAGTGATGTCCTCTGCCTCTTTATATACTGGTCTCCTGATGAGCAAACGAGCCGCAGTTGGTGAAGTCAGCTCCAGCTCCAGGAGACCTAGAACGCCCTCTGGTGGAGAAAAATGGACAGACCTCCAGATCCCAACACAAACACCCTCACCTTGGAGAATTGTATGGCCTTGCGGGTGAAACAGACTCAGGGGAAAACTTTTATAGTGAGTAAATAGCATAAATTAATATATGAAATAAGAGAAATTTAATTTTCAGACCACAGTTCTTGCCTTTTGATTATAAAATGATATTATCCTTGTATAATCGGTAATATAAAAGGAAAAAGAATGAATATATGTAAAAAAAAAATATATATATATAAAAAAAAAGAATTAACTAAAATTGTGAATATATGTAAAGAAAACTAAAACCAACTGATATGTATATATCAAAAATGCACACCTGCAATCAAGCAAGTGGACAATGTTGGATGATTATAATAGATGGAAAAATCATGGAAAAGATTATGAGAACTAAAATATGTTGCCAATACATAGAACCCTGGAATCACATTCTAGTTGGCAAAACGTTTAACTTTTTTCTCTATGATGATACTTTTCATGGTAAAAGTTCTATTTTTCTAGAGAATTTTATTTTTTGCTCTTATCAATATCAGTTACCCTTTTTGTTTCCCTTGAAAGAGAAAAGTTCAAGTTAGTCAAAAAATAGACTCCTTCATGTCTACAAAGTATAAGTCAAATGATTAACCTGAGCGCCTAAATGCAACAAACCTCATTAAAAGTAAAAACAAAAACAAAAACGTGAAAGTAAAAAAAAAATCAGTCTCAATGCAAAATGATAAAATCATACCACAAAGATGTTTCACACAGATGACCAGTTCAGCTCTTCAGAATCAGGGTCAGAGTTCATTGTCCACTCCAGAAATCTCTGTCAGTACTTACCATCAGCCATCAGGTGGTCATCTAACACTTGTACTGTCTTTTGTATTAAGAAAATAATTTCAAACACTCAGATACTAAAAAATGTTTTTGCATATAAACTTTTAGCTATATGAATATTTTGAAAGTTTGTCGTGTGCAGTCAACCCTTCATCCTGTTCAGGTGGGTTCCTGAGTCAGATGGCTGATGAGTAATGGAAGAGTGATTGATGCTCATTATTTCCTCACTAAATCTTAATAAATTTATTGACGTAGTTTCACAGAAAAGATTTGCGCAAAACTTACTTAATATGGAACCCTTAAAACAGAGCCTTGAGGAAAATGGCTTATAGGCCACTTGTACAACAGCAGTACAGTGAGGAAAAATGTATAAAAAAGGACAAATATCCAGCCATTAAAGGTTTTCAAAATGGCAGAAGGACTGTTAAAGAAGATGACAGCAACACTGATTTTGGCGACACCGCTTGCAGTTGGAGGTGTCACATTGACACTGTTCCGTAGAGATAGACTCCTCAGGCAGTGGTGTTTCATTCGTGTACCTGGACTGACTGCATTAAGCTTGAAAACTGCATCCAAGACTACCTCTGAATGTACTTTCTGGAAAACTATCCCCAGTGTATCTTGAATGTGTTTACACCCGTTAAGATCTGGCCAGGCATAACTGGACGACACAGGACTCGTTTTAACAACTGTGACTTTGTTTCACCCAAAGCACAGTTGTTAATGTAAAGAAAAAATAATAATAAAATGCTTTGATTGGTAGAACAATACAGACTTTTTAGATCAACCAAAAATGGGGTAAGTACAAAATACAGTTGAGCGAGCTGCGCTTATGGAAGAGGCCTTGATTTTTTATTTTTTTTTTAAAGCAACCTATTGCTAAACTAGATTGCACTACTTCATGGAGGATTGGTTTACAAAATTACAGGTATTATACCAAAAAACCACAGTTTTTTTCCAGGAATAAGTAACGACAGGTAATATTCAACATTTCGTTCATGAGTCTAGTGATACATTGTTCAGGTATGACTCATCAAGATCCAGTAGAAATCTTAAAGAAGAATAATCAAGAGTTCAAATTAAAGATTAAAGATTCTTTTAAAAACAAAGAGCTGTGCATAAGAAAATTTTTGCTTTGTTTTTTTATGTAGAACTTTCATGCTGGTGTAAAAAGGACTTTGTTTATAACTTAATTCATTTAACAAAAGCAGCAAAAATGCATATATCATTAAAGGATTAAATTAACGGTTCAATGCTATTTGTTTTTTTCCTGATTTCTGTTTCTAATAAGGCTTTGCCATACAAAGTTAGTATTAGGTTGAAAAAGTCCAACCGATTTATGCCCTCACAAACATTTTTTATTAAACATTACAGACTTATAAATCTTTGCCCATTTTCACTTTTGCCTATAATCTGTGATTATTGAGACATCAATCAGAAATGATAATTTAAAGAATTATAAAACCTAAGTGCAGATCAGTAGTAGTATTACCTTGTTCTTCTCAACGTAAATTTGATCTGTTAATAGTAAAGAGTAAAAGCAGGTTTCTTTTTAAAGCTTTCTTTAATTACCAGTAAACAATATGATGTCAGACTGAGCATGAAGATAAGCATGAGGAAGAGAGTTCCAATTGCAATCTCTCATTAGGCTTTAAAGTGACATTTGAACCGCCAAATGTATTATTGTCATTATTGCTTAAAAAAATACACATAAAGATAAATATAAATAAATAGAGAGCAAATCTCTCAGCATCTTAACAGCAGCTGTTGGAAACAGAGCCACGAGAAAAATGCTGATTATTTTTTAATCCTAAAGATATTATAAATTTCAAAAACCTAATTACACAAAAGATAATTGGTAAACCTTTTAGCAGCTGACAGGTTTAACTATGACACGAGTACGATGTGAGCTCACTCAATAATTTGTTTTGTGATAAAATTTAATACATTCATAGGCCACTTTATTAGGAACACCTGAGAGACTCTCAGAATGCAGTGCAGGCTATACCTGTTTAAATAGTACCACATGGTAGTTGTGCCATGCTTTTATTACTTTACACATGAGAAAGACCACTGCAGTTTGCATCAAGCATCAGAATAGTGAAAAAAATGGCTATTATGGAACTTTTAAGAGGGCATGTGTGTTGGTACCCGAAAGGCTACGTACTCTAAGTAGTTCAGGAACTGGTGATACGCTGCAATTATTGCACAAAACCTTAAAAAAAATAATTTAAAAGTATACCATAAATAAATAAAATGAAAATAAAAACTAAAACTGTCTGTAATTAAACAAAAAATAACAAGCTAAGATCAACATCTCATATGCCAAGACACAGAGATACGTTTTTAGGAGTGATTACATGTAAAACCAGACAGAGAGGTAGATTCTTTAATACACAATGGGAGGTTCCACAGTTTCGGCACTGCCACATAAAAAGCATTAGCCTCTTCCCCATCTTTTTGGCTTAGTGGAATATAAATTTGGTTATCATCAGCATAACATTGGAGATACATACCAAGCTTCATCATTAAGCCAAAAAGGAAGTAGATAAAGAGCAAAAAGAGGAAGGTCAAAAACTGAGTCCTTTGTTACCTCACATAATAAGAGAGCAAAGGATGGCGTAAATCACCAAGTGAGACACAGAAGGTTTGGTTTTCTGAATATGATCTAAGTCAATCCATTAGTGCATCCCTGATGCCAACCCACTATGCCAAATCAGTGATTAAAACTGTGTGTGCAACTGTTTCAAAAGCAGCAGAAAATTCCCTGAGAACAAGAATCCCACCTAATGAAGGACAATGGCATGGACCAAACCAGGCACCTCCTCTGTTAGTTAAAGGCATGTTACAAGGTCTAAGGTTGAGAAATGCTCTACAAACAGATTGGAAAATGTTGTAGTCCACGTAAGAGATCATCATCGATCCATCCCATTTTTCATAAACAATTCAGGGTACTAGGGATGGTGGTGTGGTATAGATTAGGGATGGGAAATTCTAGTTTCTGTGGGCTGCAACTTTTAGATTTGCTTGTGGTCCAATACATCTGAAAGGAATGGCTGAATCACCTCCTCTGTATGCAGGCAGTTTCTTCAGAGTCCCCTTAATCATTTAATTACTTGATTCAGGTGTGTTTGACTGAAGAAACATCTTAAAGTTGCTGGATACCAGTCTTGACTGGAATTACCCACCTCTAGCATTGGTAAATGTTTAACACAGTATGGGTCTCAGGGGACCAAATTACATTTGTTTTAATGCCATAGCCTATATGATTTATGCTAAAGAACATGCCTATTGACATCATACCAATTTTCTGAGAAGTATATTTCCTACTTCTCTTTGTTTTCTTGAACACGAAGAGTTAACAGTCACCAGTTTTACAGTGAACCTCTTGGATAGGGTGGAACATGAGATTTACATCATGAATTTGGAGCCAACAAATCATCAACAGCTGCCTAACAGTCACAGAATTATTGTCCAAAATCTTTGTAGAAGATTTCTAACACCTTGTTGAATCTATGCAACAAAACATTGGAGCAGTTCCAAGAAACAAAAGAGGGTCCAAAGTGCCACTAGGCATATGTAGCTGATAAAGTGTTCAGTGAGCATTAACTGTCAATATGCCAGAATATTCAGCTTTGGACTTACCCGCTTTTGTGTCCTCTGGTGGTTTTAAAAGATAAAACATTCACTCACTTCACCTGTAATCTCACAGCCCGTGATGTCGTCAGATGCCAAAGGTTGCCCTGTTTCGGCAGTAATTCAAAGCAATACATTTAAAACAGTGGGGGACTCTCCAGTATACAGCTAGAGGAGTTGATCTGTTAATTTCTTGTCGATCTTGCAAAAAGACCTGCTGCACCACAGAACGAAGCAATAATGAAGTTTGAGAATGTTCTTGCTGATATTGATGGATTTGGAAAATTCCAGATAATGATCATTGTGATCAACTTTGTTGGTCGCGTCACTCTTCCCTGCCACTTCGTGCTGAATAATTTTGCGGCTGCAACACCAGCTCACTATTGTTATGTCAGCTTTCAGGGGGATTTTGACAATTTGTCACAGGCAGAGAAAATGACTGTAAGTATCCCAATGGAGAAAGATGGGAAGCCGAGCTCCTGTCGGATGTTTGCGGAGCCTCAGTATCATCTGCTGCTTAACTCCTCTGACAGTAGTGATGCACCCACTGTGCCATGCCAGAATGGATGGGTGTATGACAACACAACATTTAAATCAACTATAACATCTGAGGTAATCTTACTGACTTATTTCCCTCTCTGTGTTAAAAAAAGCTTTGTCATTGGTGTAAACAAAAGTATTAATTTGGGGGGGACTTTTGCTTTTCCACACTTGTTACATAAAGTGGGACCTCGTTTGTGACCAACGAGGGAAAAACAGAGCAACAGCTACAATCTTTTTTGTCGGCGTAATGTTTGGAGCAATAACCTTTGGAAGTCTGAGTGACAGGTATTAAAGCCCTGTAATACAATATTTAAACTAAAGAATGTTTGTCTTTTATATTCAGCTGTATGCAGTTAAATTGTGTCTGTGACTCTCCTCAGGTTTGGCCGTAAGATCATGCTACTGGTGTCGTATGTGTCTGGCATGTTGTTTGCTGTAGCAAGCGCTTTTTCTACAACATACATAATGTTTGCAGTGCTGAGGTTCTTCACTGGGTTCTGCATCACTGGCATTGTCATCATTTCAGCTGCTCTTAGTAATTCATTTCTTGCTTCTCAACAGCCTTGATTATAAACCTAGCCTAAGAAGATCAAGGAAGATTATTTGAAATAGTCAATTATTGAAGAGCTGCTATGATTGTTTTTATCAAGTGTTCATTTGCAGGTGTGGAGTGGGTAGACATTGAGCACAGAAAACTGGTGGGAGTGATTGATAGTTTATCCTGGACATTTGGGAGCACGCTATTTGCAGCCATTGGCTACTTTGTGACTGACTGGCGTTGGCTGACTCTCAGTGTTACATCACCTTTAATCCTGGCCATCATCACTTGGAGGTAGGAATCTGGAATTTTCCAGAAACTGATTATATTCTGCCCTTTTTTGGGGGGGTGGGGTTGGGGGGGTCAAAGAACAAGCTTAGCCAGTAATGGTTTTATTTTAACTGTGATGTAAAACTAATGCAATCTTTTTTCCCAACTAGGCTATAGTAGGCCTTGGTTTTCTGTTGATGACTTATATCTTTTTCACTGCATACTAATAATATTGTGACTACAATGAACAGATACATCTCAACTAGATGCAATGTCAATCGAAACAAATAAATTAGTAATACAGACTTTAGTTTCATGTCACTTGGACTATTGCTCTATTCTGTGGTCCAATTAGCTCAGCAGACTCCAGATAGTTAAGAATTGGGGAGCAAGACTGGCCCTAGGATGTACATTTCAGATCAGCGTTGCTGTCTTGCATTCAAGACTTTCATAAATGAAAGGCAAAGATAGTTTGGCTTGTTGTTGTTTGGTCTCTCAGAATAAAATCTGGACTTCAACAAACCCTTTGGCCTGTTCTCTAAAGTAGAGCCTACTTTCAGCAGACACAGGGCTAATACAAGACAAGCTGTTACTCTGACATTTACTGTGCCACTTCCTTGAATTAATGCATTAGAAAACACATTTATATACCAGGTCATCTCCCTAAGGATTATGTTCCCACAGCATATAAGATTAATACAAAATAATTTTTTCTTTTAAATGAAATCGTAGGAATTCTATATTTACCAAGGAAATTCTGTTTAACTAGGGACGACATGGTGTATGTTGTTACGATTTGTTTTTTTTATATTTTCTTTGTTTTATTTGGATCCCCATTAGCTTCAGCTTAAGCTAAAAGCTATTCTTCCTGGGGCTCTCCAATCTTCCATGTGGCGATACAATCTATTACATCACGTTACACACTTTACACATTTACATAAAATTTGATACATATTTTACCATTTAGCCATTGATCACTAAAATAATAATACTAAAATAAATGAATAAGCATAATTAAAATATTGCTTCTCCAAATAGATCTATTATTGTGATGTTTTTAGTTGAAAATGGACCCCAGGAAGAGTAGTCTCTACTCTGGTAGAAACTAATGCCAATCCTTAAATAAAGAAATAAAGAATCTCAAACGATTAGTTTCTACATTCTATTTTGACTAAGTATATATATTAAAAACCATCTCTGTTAACATCAGGTGGCTTCCAGACTCAGCAAGGTGGCTCATTGCTAATGGAAAACTGGAACAGGCTCAGATGTACCTGAAGAAGTGTGCAAAGATGAATAAAAGAGAAGATTTTATTCAAACACTCAAAGCAGAGGTTTCTACTCACTCAACTGAAATGTAGTCTTGAGTTAAACCATTGGTTTTTAATGACCGGGTTTTAAGATTGACTGATTTTTGGATTCTTTTCAGACTTTATCAACTATTGTGGCAGGAGAGGCAAAAGTACGGAATTATACTTACCTTGACTTGATTCGGACCACAAAGATGAGAAAACTAGCCATGAAGACTGGTTTATTATGGTTTGTACAACCTTTGATATTGTCCTCTATTATTAATGCGTGATAAATTCCTAACATGAAAAACACATTTAAATGAAAACTTTGTAAACATATGTGCCCACAGGTTTTTTGTGGCAACAACATTTTACGGAATAAGCTTCAACATTGCAGGTTTTGGCCTAAATATCTATCTTACTCAGTTCACCTATGCTATAATTGAGTTGCCAGCCAAACTCTCCGTTTATTATCTTCTGGATAAGATCGGCCGACGAAAAACTGAGGTGGGAGCTCTGCTGTTGGCTGCTCTCTGTCTAGGAATCAACATTGTGATACCAAAAGGTAGATATGCCAACTGCTTCAGAAAAAAAATACACAAAAAAATAAATCAATGTCCACAATATTAAGTTATAAAAAGTTAATGAACCCCTTTTTTTGTTTTACAGAATTGCCAGTGGCCCGAACAGTTGTTGCTGTTTTTGGGAAGGGCTTTTCCTCTGCCTCCTTTGGAACGGTTGTGCTGTACAGTTCTGAGCTGTATCCAACTGTAGTGAGGTAATGAAATGACAACCAGTTTATCGCATCACACAATTGTGCAGCTCCCATGAGTTTCAATGGCATGAGACGATAAACCATTTAAAACAAGTAATAAACATATGATCTCGAGCTAAGCCTAAGAGCCATTGACCTTATCTGACTTAGACAGATTAATTTTGTCATTTTGTATACACAAGTGTAAACAAAACAATATTTCGTTTAGAACAGCTCTCTAGACAATTACATTTTTTAAGTGCAGCCTTGATAAGGTAAGCAGCAGTTGTTGTTGAGCTGCAACTACTGCCTCTAGCTCCTGAAGCACCCGCTTCTACTGGCTCAGGGGTGGAAGAGGACTATGATGCTGATGTTGTGAGGGTGCTAGCGCCCTGGGTTGAAGAGGCTGACGTGGTTGAAGCAGCAGCTTTGCGCAGCTTTTTAAACGGTCAAAAATGTCAGTATTTAAAATATTTTGTGACCGTAGCTCCAGCAGGCGTTGGCGATCATAGATGCGGGGTTGATGTCTAGTTTTTTATAATTTTAAGTGGCATATTTTGTGAAATTGTCGAGAAGAGCTGCTCTTGGCCGCTGCCTTGGAACGCCGCCATGGTATCCCATGACATGTTGAAACTTTAAACTATTCTTACTCTCCACATCAAGATTTAAGGAAATGACAAATGTCACAGGGATCTCTAGATTATAGCTAGCCATCTCATAGTAAACTATGCAGATGCTCAGTTTGCACTCATGAAGATTAATTTACCTTATGTCGAGTGTGCGAGGGTACTGATACTGCAGTTGGCTGGGGTTTTGGGAAGCTCTGGTTATTTCAGGAAATCGTTAGCCTCATAGGACAGCTCCCTAAGCCATATTTAAGAGTTGTTGGAAAACAAAAAATGTTAGCAGGCTCATGAGTATTTTTATTGATATTGGAACAGTAAGTTCAACCAGATGCGTTTGCAAGATAGCAATTGTATGACAAATAAAAATGACTTGGCAATTTTGTCATTCAAAAGAAACAACCGTAGTTTTTTTCTTCCATGTCATTTCTTTGTGTCATATTCTGACCCTGAAACAGAAGTAACTGAAGAGCTGCTGAATGTTTTATCATAGTAAACTATGTTATATATAAGGTTGAATGCAAAACCCCAAAAAACAATTAACACAAATATAAACCAAATGGTGTGCACTTAAAAAATATTTTGTAAAAATTTAAATTGAGATATATTAAACAATTCTCCGAATTGAATCAAAATGTTCTAGCCTACTTTTTTGTTGTTCGTGCTGATTTGGTTTTTAAGATTTAATAGTTTTTAATTAAGGCAGATGAAATCGCCATCCCAGCAGACATTAGAGCTGTGCTCATTTCCTGATATAAAGTTATTGCATAACATCACATGTCATTCCTGTGCTTGTATTGAATATAACAGTGAGCATGTTTACCTTATTTAGTGGCTGGAATGATTGTTTAATATTTAGTAAATCACCAGCCTCCTATACCCTTTTGTTTGGACCTGCCATTCGTTACCCCTGGCAACCCCATTGCATTTCCTGTGAAGACCTCACTGTCGGTATTTCACAATAAAAGCACAGGTGAAGCTTAACATCACAACTTTTGAATCACCAAGTGAAGAAGATCTGTTGTTCTGGGTGAGGTAACTGTGGCCACACCAACAACTGACCCAACCCTCTGAATAACTGCACATCTTAGCGACCTTTTATCATGGCCAGCCTTGAGGCACATTTTGTAATAATCTTGCTGTCTAATCACCATGTTAATATGCCACACCTGTGAGGCGAGTGGATTATGTCAACAAAGGAGAAGATGTCACTTTGAAAGATTTGTGAACATTTGAGAGAAACAGAATAACTGAATCTATATAAAATAAAAAAAGGTTGAGGTTTAAGATTATTGGTTCAGCCCCAGAAAAATGGGAGCAAGAACAAATATGACAAATAGTAAACTGAACAAACAATTTTGTTCAGCTTACTAATAACGAGGATGCAGTTTATTTCGGGCCAAATCCTAAAATTTATATTAAAAACGTTTTTCATTTCAAATAAAAAGCATATAATACTTTTTTAAAATCTTTGAAATTAGCCAAAAATTTTTTTAATAAGGTACTTTTTAGATAAAGTGCTTAATCTTGAAGTTTTTTTTTTTACAAAAAGTCTTATTCCACAATATATTGTACCTTGTAAAATTTCCTTATCCCTATGACTGAAATGTATTAACTGTACACAGTTAAAAAAAATTCCACTTGCATTTCAAGAGCTGATGCTTCACTTTTATGAAGGTAAATTTGTTTATTATTTTTTTGATTGAAACAACTTTTTGGGATTTGAATGATTAAGACACAAATGTCCTGCCCACGTATGGCCCAAACACAAAATAGATCCCTTCAACCAAAGAGAACATTTTCAACAATAAAAAAAAGTGTTCAAATGCAATATTTTGAGTCTCAAATATTTTATTTGCATTCAAAAACAATTTTCTATGATTGAAAACGTTTAACTTTTCATTGAACTTACTTTTTTTTATTGATTCTGTTGTTTGTTTAAAGAAACTTCTTTTGTGATTGAATAAAAAAGACACAAATGTCCTACCCATTATATGGTCCAATCAAAAAACAATGTTACTTCAATTTAAAAAGTTGCTATAAACAAAAAAAAAAGACTGCACTTCTATCAAATAAAAGCTTTTAAAAGAAAAGCAGTGTTCAGATGTATTTTTTTGAGTTTCAAATATATTTTTGCATTCAAATACATTTTTTCTTTGATTGAAAAGTTTTTTTTTTATTAAAGTGAAGATTTTTTTAATTGAAATATATTTTTTGATTGACGCAACCTTTTTTTTTTAGATTGAATAATAAAAAAACAAATCTACCTTCATACACTTGTGGTTAACAGAGCTATTTTTACATGCCTTTGTCAAAGAGAAGACCTAGGCAGATAAAGATTTTGGATTGTAAAACCAAGTTCTAATAGGCCAAACTATTAGGGAGTTATGCTATGAGGCTAACGTAGTGAATATTAACTTGCCAACACCCAGAATGTGTAAAGAGTACTGAAAATACAACCTAAGATGGTGACTTCAGAGCAGCTCATTGTTAACCGTATCTCAAACCATTATCCATTACAGGCAGAATGGAATGGGCTACAACTCCTTCATGGCTCGCCTTGGTGTCGCCGTGTCTCCTATGATCCTGTTACTGGACGACTTTTGGAAGGAGCTGCCGCAGGTGGTCCTGTGCTCAACAGCTATATTGGGAGCACTGGTAGCAAGGACGTTGGCAGAGACTCGCGACAGGTGTCTGCCAGAGACTATCGAGTATATTGAGGAAATGTAAAAAGTTATCAGTGTGTATATATATATATATATATATTTTTTTTTTTTATAGAAAGTGCCAATTAAGAGTTTCTGTAGACTTGTGTGTTTATTGGCAACTGCATGAAGATAGCATTTATTTAAAAAAAAGTTAGGATTTTACAGTGTTTAGATTTTGTTAGGTCTTAAGTCACAACATCATACACTGTCTTAGTTTCAGAAGTCTATGGGGGAATGATCTCTTCAGCCTTGGGTATTTACCTTATAACTGTATATTCAATACAAGGATTATCACATCCTTAAACACCATTTTCCCCTTCCAAAAAACTATAAATAATTGAAAAAAACATTCGTTAAAGTTTGTAAAAAATGTTTTTAAATAAATCTCAAAATATTAAGAGACATTCCCCATAAGACATAGCTGGGGCTACTTTAGCTAACAATTTGCAGATATGTTGAACTGTAAAAAAACAAAATCAATAATAATTTGTGATGTTTATTTTTACATATGGCAAATGTTGAGTTTAATGCAACCATTAAACCAGGTTGATTTTCAATCTTGAAGAATTTATACACAAAAATTAAGTCAAAGCTCATTTATTAAAGAAACAAAGCAAGCACAGACTATTGTTATGGCTCCAAAGTCTCCTGAATTAAACTCGACCACATCAAGACCTGTTGCAATTTTTTTTTTTTTTTTTTTGAAAAATCATAACAGCTGTATCTAACAATTGCTGCTTATATTTCATCATTACACCTACTTAAAGAACTGACGATGAAAAAAAATAACCAAAAAAAAAAGCAAACAAATACTAAAAATCAAAAAGCCAACGTTTGAACATTAAGGGACAATGATACAGAAAGATCTAAAACTACAGTATGCAGGTTGTTTCTCCACTCTAGTTCAGTACTGAGTGTACTCTTTGCTCTCCAGTTTGGCAATAATTCGCTCCAGCTGTCTTTTAGCTTCACATTGTGGAAAGTTGCTCATGTCATAGTACTGGGGTGCAATCTTCACCAACCTGCAACAAAAAGGAAAACAAACATTTCCATCAGTAAGATAACTGGAACCTGGAAGCTTTTTATGAGAAATCCAGACATCAGTACACATACCACTCTGGTTTGATATCTGTGCAAGTTCGGATGTAATTCTTGGTGGTGAGAACAAACTCGTTGTAGAGCACCCATTCAGGCTTGTGGTCCAGGACTGTGGATGGATGGAGCTGGACCACCTGGTTGTCTTTCACTGTGAGGTAATGGCCTGTGCGCTCCAAATGAGCCACCTGGAAGATGGACAAGAAGTATTAACATTAGAATCTCTGCCTAAATGAGCCTAAACCTGTTGACCTTGTGTAACGTCTCGGCTCACCTGCATGAAAAAGCCGGTGCAGAGGGCCCGACGGATGTTGATGTAGTAATCTCTGCTGGTGAACTCTGTGCTCCGCCGAGGCAGACTGAAGCGGTCCATGATCCTGGACAGCTGCTGACGTACATTGTCAGCAGACATCAGAGAGCGGTAGTTGACAAAGTTGTCGTAACACCACTGGTTAGCTTCATGGTCTGGGGGAAAAAAAAAAAAAAAGAAAAAAAAGAGCAAAATTGATATCAAGTTAACTACCTTTTAAGAGTTTTAAGCAACCAAACTGATTGATATTCAACTGGGAAGTGGAAGCTTTCAATGAACTTAAGGTACTTTGACCTATTAACTTTCTTCTCTCCATTTGAAACATACAGTTTAGTTAAATGCTACTACAACATTTAAAATGATGCTATTTGCATCCATCAGGCCTCTAGCGGTGAATTTACTTTAAACTCTGTCCTGCAAGATTGAAGTATGCAAGGTTTTCCTCCTTCATTGTCTTCAGTGCATTAGTTTCTCTGCATCTTCATTTGATCATGTGTGACAAACTGAATTTCCCTAATCAGGAGAGGAGCTTGTTCAGCTTTCAGTGAGAACAAAAAAATTGTATATTAAAATATTTTACACTTTTTTTGTTCTTTTATTTTAGGGCAGCAGGCAAGACACTCGAGGTCAACTTAAAAAACTAAACCAAAAAAAAAAAACTGCTACATCATTAGTTTATAAATTGACTGCACGATTTTAACGTACATTAAAATGTACCTGTATCTAACTGACATTGATGCTGTTAAAATGAGATGTTGCCAAATGTTATTTTGTTGTATACTATATAAAAATAAAGCCTCTCATTTGATAAAAAACAGCAAGAAGCGACGAGACCAATAAAACTATAATGAAACCATGTAAGAACAATGAAACAGGCTAATAAGTAAATTCTTAGAAAGATAGGTGGGCCAAGCACCAATTTAGTGATTTAAATGGGACTACAGTGACTTAAATCATGAAGAAGTCTTATCAAAAACATTGGAAGAAAGATTCAGAAATGATGGGAGATGTTATAGAATATACTGTGGATTCCACAGTGATTAGCCAGCAGGAGGAATAGTGAGGAGCATGGAAGTAAAATTCTTTTGCATCTGATTAGCACCTTAATGCCAGCCTAAAAATCAAGCAATTTCTTTAAAAGAGAAACACAAAGACAGAAAATGTCAAAAATGAATATCCATTGTTTCACTGCCTGTTAAACACCAATAGAATGTTTCAATTTTCTAGTTGTTGAAAAGGTTTTATATTTATGAAACTTTATCATCTCCAAAACTACTAGATGCATGCGAGAGAACAAACGCATAAATTGTGTTAAACAGCCTTTAAAAGGGAGACTTAATTATTGTTAATTCTTGTCTGCATCAGAAGCTGAGAAAATAATTACAAGTTATATTTCCATCAGGTTTTATTTATCAATTAATGAGATCTAAAAAAAATGTTAAATAAAAAATAAAAACAACAAGTAGGAACAAAAAGCCTGATACATACTTTGTTTGAAGGCATGATAGACGTTGAGCAGCGTCAAGTGGTCCCCGTCAATGTGAGCAAACCTCATCTTGGACTCGTCCGCTGCCTTCTTAGCCTCCGTGGGACGAACAAAACACTGTGGGACTAAACAAGGTTGGTATGGGCCCCAACAAAGCCGCCCATAGGGATGAGTCAAACATTCACAGAAAAATGGAGCAAAGCCTATGATGCACTTGACACTGCGTTGGGACAGGGCAGGACCACACTCTTTATCAAAGGGGGGAAGGGGGTCTGCAGGCTTTTCTCATGGTCATTTCCAACTGTAATGGCTATTAGCTCGTAGAGGGGGGAGGGGTCATTTAACCACATCTGTAAAACAAGAGTTTTCACACAACTAAAAAGCGTTAGAAACACCAGCAAGGTTTTATTTATGCAGGATCGATAGGTTTTAATTGAAAACATCTAAGGTTTTATCTCATACTACATGACATTTACAAAAGAGTTCATACTGATCACGTGTACTATTACTATTACTGATTTTGTAATAAATCAAAAGCATCAAACAACATCTGAGGTAATAATACAAGTGGTGCCTGCCCTATCCACTGGCTTCGTTTACAAAATGATCCTAGTGAGAAAACGACATTTAAAGATAATTTTTTATTTCTTCAGAAGGTTCTAAAGAAAATACTTTCAGTACCTTTGCTCAGTGCTAGTGCATTTACACAAGCTAAATATTTGTGATAGAATGCTTCATCATTATTATGGATGGTGAACAATAAAGCTGCAAAACAAACGGAAAACGTTTCAGCACGTGTAACAAAATGTGATGCAAATTTTGAGGGAAGTTTTGAAAAGCCGAAAAATGTAAATGTAAAGTTGTCGCGTTTCCATCCATTGGAGCGAATTAATGAGGCAATGCAAAGCATAATGCTGTCATTTGCAGGCTTAGGCTTGTATGGAGGACCAGTAATGGACCGAGGTTTTAATGAATGTGTTGTAGTTAAATAAGTTTATCATTTCGGCTGGTATTAACGATGGTTCATGTGAGATATATAGAGAGGTAGATGAGTGTGATTCCAATGCTAGATTCATGACTCCAGCGGCGGCAGAAACACCTGATGTAAATATTCATTGCGAGAGGACTTATATGAAAAATGTATACCAAGGCTCTTATTTAGGCTTTTTCGAAAAGGTAAAAAGAGTTGATGGTAACCCTTCTATAGACTGTTAGAAGCACAGATGAAAAGAAAAAAGCTGAGAAATGATACATTTGTCCAAGTGGCATCAATTGCATTTAAACAATCTCCCTATTGTGTAATTCTTAAGACATCACAGCCTAATTTTTGTTTTCAACTGAAAATAGTTTAATTTTGAGTACTGACTAATATTCAATGATAGGATGCGTTTAAAAATGCAAGGATACAAACTACCTGTCCGAATGAAATCATTTCCATCAGTAATTTGATTGTCATGCAGAGATGAGCAGCATATAAAACACAAACTAATACATTTAGTTTATTAGAAGATTAAGGTCTTAGCTTTCCAACTACTTTTAAGGGTTTTGCCATATAATGTTGATGGATGACTTTTTTTTTTTAGTTTCTATGTCAAGACCGTAACGATTTTCATTAGCAGAAACATTTCACAGAGCTGAGTAACTGTGTCCCCCCACTTTCTCTGGCTCCATATTAACAGGACTTAAAGGCTGGTTACACTCCCGCAGTAGTGTGTTGCAGTGAGCTTGTTGCAGGTATGTGACAGACATTTTTAATTTCTTCCCATTATTTAAGTGTGGTCTGCGCTGTTATTCCACTCCAAAACGCAAAAGGGGAAAATCCCGAACTAGCTGTGGGTCTAGATACGGCCGAGGCAGTTAAAAATGGGGGGAGGTTTGTCCGACAAGGACAAGGGACCCTACGGCGAAAAATAGCGGGGATCCAGGTGGAAAAAGGGTCCCAGCGTTCTCACGCACCTCACTCTTCTAGCTGCTCCAACTTCACAGGTCTTTTTCCACAATCGCGGTCATACAAACAAAAAAAGCCAGTAAGGTACCAAACAGAAGACACGCATGAGTAGAGCGGATGTAGATTTGACCAATCAGAGGCCTCCTGTCTGCGGTCACCTACAATTTGAGTCTCTGCGTTCAACGCGACACCTACGCAGACGACCTAGTTTTGGAGTATAAATCAGCCTTTAGTCATAAGTGTTGATCAGGGAACCTTCTGAGGGCATTCCAGACTTAATAACCTCTACTTAGTCGTAATATTTACTACATAAACTTATATCCATGGATACCTAATTGCTATCCTTAGGAAGCTTGGCCTTTTAATGGCAAGAAGATGTCTGCCCAGTCCTGGGCATTACCTGACAGCATGGCAGTGATAGAGAGGATCTCATTGGAGCAGTTAAACTCGCAGCTTGCTATGACCATCTTCGCCAGCTGAGGATCCAG